TTGCTTTTTTAATGTTCAGATTGATGCATCTCACAATACAAGCATGCTGTGTGTGAGCGTTGGCCAGAGTGACCTCTGATGGCCTCTGCTGCCCTTTTGTTTTATGACTCTTGGCCTCAAACAAAGCGAACCAGATGGGGACACCAGTGCCAGGGACTATGGGTATAATTAGGATATATTTCACAAGAAACCCTGCCATCCTTTTTGAAAGAGGGCAACTGATATTTCCTTATAACTACTCTAGTGCTTTAAAGAGATTCTTTGTCATCAGTTGCCAAGAATCTCAGTGACCTGGTGAAACATTCAATGTACTGGCTCCATGAATACATAAAAACTCATTTTACTTTGTCTGAAAGTTTAAGAAACTACAATAATATTAAAAAATTTTTTAAACAATCATTCATTTTTGAGGGAGACACAGAGTGTGAGTGGGGGAGGGAAAAACAGAGAGAAGGAGGGAGACACAGAATCCAAAGCAGGGCTCTGAGCTGTCAGCACAGAGCCCCACGTGGGGCTCGAACTCACAGTGAGATCATGACCTGAGCCAAAGCTGGACACTTAACCGACTGAGCCACCCAGGTGCCAGAAATTAAAATAATATTGTCAGTACCAAGAAGCTGAAAGTGTTTCCACATGTGTGGATACTCTGATTAAATTAGTTTGTGGAACCATTCAATAAATATAGTTTGAATGTGGTTTGAACAAATACCTACTGTGTGTGAGGCCCTGTGTTAGGCCTTGGGGACATTGCTCAGGGAGTAAGAAAGGTCCATGGTCTCTCACGGATGTGCCAATACTCTTCAAAACTTATGATTTTTTTCCTGAAATGCAGAGGGCTGAGCTTTCACAGGCGCCCATGCCATATTTTATCTACCGAGGGTATATATTTGGATTCTCCTCTTATTTCTCCTGCTGGATTATAAACTTCACCTTTCCTCAGAGTCCTCAGCTGTGCTTTCCCGATGTTTGGCTCATAGGTTCCTTATCACCTTTTTCCCATGGGTATAATGGCTGATGTGTACTGAGTGTTTACATCACACCCCTAACATTTAGGACTTTGCTTTACCCAAATACCAACCCTAAAGGAAGCTGTTCTCATGGACCCCATTTTATGTTGTTCTTACCTTGGTCTACATGGACCACTGTGGCCTGGCCCTGGCCTCAGCTCCTCCTACATCCTTCCTCTCCCTTTGCTCACTGCTGTCAGCCATGTTGGTCCCTTGCTGTCGGGTGGCCACACCAGGTGTGCTTCTACCCCAGGGCCTTGCTCTTTGGCTTGAAATGCTCTGTCCGGACTGTCATGTGAGCCCTCTGCTGAGGCACCCAGGACTCTGCCCCACACGACATCTTTGGACAAGTATTCCTTGACTTATTTAATATACAGCAATCTCCTGCATTCACTGTATCCCCCTGCTCCGTTTTCCTTCATAGCATTTATCACTACCTGACCTAATACATGTTTTATGTATTATTTCACTTTTAATAACTGTTAATATCTAAATGCCAGCTGAGCTGTCAGCACAGAGCCCGATACAGAGTTTGAAACTATGAACTGTAAGATCATGACCTGAGCAAAAGTCAGATGCTCAACCGACTGAGCCACCCAGTCGTGCCCCCCCCCACAAAAAACTCATATTCTTAACCAATGTGTGTGTGTGTGTGTGTGTGTGTGTGTGTGTGTGTGTGTCTTTCTTCTCCACCAACCTCTCAGATTCGTGGTAAGGACTCTTTGTTTTATATTTTGTAGCCTAGATGCTTAAAGAGACTGACACATAGTAGAGATTTTATAAATAAAATTTATAAATTTATAAAATATATGACCAGCTTATAGATGATTAATTGAACAGACAGAGAGAGTCATGTTTCTGATAGGGACACAGGGTAGACAAAAGCACAAAAGCCCAAGGAACATAAATGCCTGAATACGTGGCTAGCTTATCACCAGAAGCAGCTTAGGCAGCGTGAAAAATAAAGTCTACTGAGTAAGTATAGTCATTGCACTTCCCTTTTAGCAGCCAGAGTTATCATCCCATACCTAGACTGACTTACAGTACACATGCAAGTTTAAATACCTGTAATGCTTTGATAATCTTCCAAAGACTTCTTTATAATGAGATGGAGCCATGGTAAAAATGTGCTAGTCTTTAAAACAAAGATAAATGGTCACAGGATTTAAAACTGGCTCTGAATGTCCACCAGACAGCAGATGGAATATTCACTTTTACTGAGAGGGTTTGATATAAACGATCCCAATGACTTTGGAGGCATGTAAACAACAAAAAGATTTATTTTGTTACTTAAATGCAGAACTCTGGACTCTCCAGGATAAATAGTAGTTTGGTAGAAATCAATGGTAGAATAATTAGCAACTGTTGTGTTTTTTAGAGTTGATCTATTTCTTCCTTCTAACATTTGGGTCCCTTTGCACAGCTTAGTCTCTTCCCTTAGCAGAGGGAAGCAAGAAGGAGATGTAACCAGAGCCCTCCCTTGGGATTGGCCCATGTGAGCCAAGAGGATCAGATCCTCCCAGTTGGCTGGCTGGAGGGGCGTCTGCTATTGGTGTTCTAGAACCAGGGCTGTGCAGATAAGATACACATATTTTTCCAGCACGGTGATTTTGTCACTTATAGTGCATCCCTTTTGTACGCTAAAATGATTGGCATCCTTGTCTCCACCCATTTCACATGCCCATTTCCCTCATCACTCCTCATCATAGCATCCTGCCCTTTCCCCAAACACATTGTTGTTGATTTTCATTAGCTCTGAGGCAAAGAAATGTGCTGCCCCGCTGGAGGGTATTACACCAGGGAAGCAACGTTTCAAAGCTTAATTGCTTGTCTCTTGAAAGGTGCTTTCTAAATTAAACCAGTGTGTCTGCATCTTGAACACTTTTTCTCTCTGTGGGAAGATGGAGCCAGTCTCATATGAGATTGCAAAAAGGAGGCAGCAGCCATGTTTCTATTGTCCATCCAGAACCTCCTGAGAGCGCTGACTGCCCTGCTCAAAGGTCTGCTGAAGGAAAAGAGGCAGGAGGTGCTGGCCTGACACTAGAGGTCAATGAGACCACTGAGGCCGACTCTGCTGAGAGGGGTGTGCTTTACTCTGTGGTCTATATTTTGTATTTAAGAAACAATTCTCCGTGCTGAGTTCATAGACTTTCTCCTATGTTGCTGTCTAACGATCCTTTAGTTTTAACCATGCACATTTAGGTAAGGATCAGATTTCATTTTTCTGTATGAAAAATTAACTGTCCACATCCCATTTATTAAATAACTCATCCTTTTCCCTGCTGACACAATATTTGTTGTTATAAATCCAGTCTCCATATATACATGAGTCTGTTTTGAAGCTTTCTGGTCTGTTGCAGCCATCTATTTGTTTTTTCTTTATACTATAGAGTCTAAATTTCTATACCTTTATAATAATCTTGCTAGGGAGTAGTGCTGGTCCCCTGTCCCCACCTTTTTCTTCCTCAGAAATATTAGTTTTTGCTCTTTGAACATAAATGCACGCACGCACGCACACACACACACACAGTTGAGTTCCATAAAAAACCTAGTTGGGAATCTGATCGGATTCGCATTGATTTTAGAGATATATATTTTTAAGAGAATGGATATCTTTAGGACACTGAGTTTTCCTATCCAATAGCGTAGAATATTGTTTCCTTACTTACATCTTCTCTTTCAGTAAACTCTTACAATTATAATTTTCTCCAAAAAGAGCATGTACATCTATTTTAAAATTTCTTTTTTGGTATTGGTTTTTTTGTTTTGTAAGTAAGATTTTTAAATAAATACACCTTTTATTTTGGCTAATGCGTGGAAATGCCGTTGATTTTTGAATATACATTTTTTTAATTTAGCAGTTTTACTAATTCTAGTAATTTATCTATAGATTCTTGGGATTTATAATGAACAATCACAGTACCTACAAATAGTGATGGTTACATATATTTTTCAAATACTTATGCTTTTCCCCCTTTTCATTCTGAATGGATAGGATGTCTAGTCCAGTATTGAAAAGGAGTAGCAAAAGCAGATCTCTTTGTACATTTCCTGATCTTGAGCATTCTATCATTAAGTATGCTGTTTATTGTAACTCATGTTTAGGAAGTTTCTTTTTATTCCAAATTTAAAAAGGGTTACATTTTTTGTTAAAGCTGAATGGATGTTATGTTTTATTAAATGCTCTTCATCTCCTGTGAGGATCATATGTGTTTACTCTGAGAATTTATTAGTATGATGAATTGCATAACCCAGCTATTTAAGGTTAAGCCAGGCTTCCTTTCTTTTTTTTCTTTTTTTTTTTTAAATTTTTAATGTTTATTATTATGGAGACAGAACCACAGCATGAGTGGGGGAGGGGCAGAGAGAGAGGGAGACACAGAATCCGAAATAGGCTCCAGGCTCTGAGCTGTCAGCACAGAGCCTGATGCAGGGCTTGAGCCCACAAACCATTAGATCATGACCTGAGCCAAAGTCAGGGGCTCAACTGACTGAGCCACCCAGGAGCCCCCAGGCTTCCATTCTTGAGACACACCCAGCTTGGTCAGGATATCTTATCTTTCTTTACACATTGATGAATTGAGATTCTTAATATTTTGTTCAGGAGTTTTGCATCTACTTTTATCAGTTATATTGTCTGCGGTCTTCTCCCTTCCTCTTGACTAGCTAGGTGATGGATATTCCAGATTCATGGAATGAGTTGGAGGATATCCTCTTTTTTAATGTTTTCTTTTATACCTTTATTGGGGTACAATTTATATATAGTAACATTCACCCTTTTTAAGTGTTTGGAAAATATACATTTTCCCAGAAGTGATTAAACCAATCATCAATACAATCAAGTTTAAAAATATTTCTATCACCCTGAAGAACTGTGGACAATATATACTTGGATATTTGTTTGTATCCAGTCTGTCAATCTTTATCTTTTCAGTGGAGTGTTTAGTACATTCACATTAATGTGATAATCGATATGTTTGTATTTAGGCATACCTTTTTGGTGTCTGTTTTCTATTTGTCTCATTTCTCTCCTGTTGTCTTGTAACTGCTGGACTGTCAGTTGCACTTGCTGTGTTAGAATTGAGGATCCTTGCTGGAGTCTATCAATAAGGCTTTAGACACATGGCATAAGGTCAGCTGCTTTCGTGAATGTTTTTTTCTATTCTGATCAGAAAAGATTAGAAAGAGTTCATATTAATATATGGAATGGACAATGAATGTTCATTTGTAGGGCTATGTTAACTTTTCCACCCTCTGATATAATATATTTCAAAGAGATCTGGACTGTCTAGACACCCTGTAGAACATCACATTGATCTATTACATCATGCTGACTGGCACGAATGAGCAAAGGGAGGTAGTACACTGAAGTCAATTTAAGACCCATGGCTCCAGAGAGTGGAAGAAACCCTCTTGACAATTCAGGAACCAGTCACATTAGTGAAGTTTTTAGCATCTAGTGGTCATGGACGTGCTAAAATATCTCTGCCAAAGTAAAAGAAAAATGATTGCATCTTGCATTTCCTACCACAAAGAAGGAAGCACAGTGCCTGGTAAGCCACTTTGGGATCTAGAGACAACACATTGAACAAGTAGGAATATTGTTCTGGCCCATATACCTGGTGACACAGAAGGCCATCAGCTTCAAAGGGGGCCCCAGAATAGAAAAGACCTCTGCAGTGAGTCATAGCCATAGTGCAAGCAGCCTTGCCATATAGGTGTTAGAGGTATCTCTGGTAGGAAAAGATGCAGTGTGTAATTGATAGCAAGCCTCTATGGGAGAATGGCATTGCAGGCCTCTGGGGTTCTGGAGCAAGGTCATGACATTTGGAGCAGAGAAATATATGCCTTTTGAAAAATAGCTGTTGGCCAATAGGGACCTGGTAGAGATAGAATGCTTGGTTATTTGGATCATCAAATGACCCTGTACCTAGAATTATCCCCGTTGATCTGGGGTCTATCAGATTTGGCAAGTCATAAAGTTGGATAAGCCCAGCATTAGTCTATTAGAAAAAGGAAATGTTATAGGCTCAAGCCCAAGTGCTAAAGAGCCAAATTAACTGGAGCAGGTTGCCTACACTTCCATCATTCACTATAGCTGTATCAGCACCCATCTCCCAGATCACACCTATGGCTGTAGGGAGGATCTCATATCATCAGCTGAGGGGGGAAGAAAAAACCTGAACTTGGTGTACCACTGAGTTGACTCAGTATATGGAAACAGAGAGTGCTACATTATATCCACATTCAAGAGTGACCTTAAAAGGCACAGAAAAGTGAAAATCTTCCTCAGATGCAGAGCTGCAAGTGACACACCTAGGCTTTCACTTTGAGTGATAAAAGAAGTAGCTAAAGGGGCACCTGGGTGGCTTAGTCGGTTAAGCGTCCGACTTTCGCTTAGGTCATGATCTCGCGGTTCGTGGGTTCGAGCCCCGCGTCGGGCTCTGTGCTGACTGCCAGCTCGGAGCCTGGAGCCTGTTTCAGTCTGTCACTCCCTCTCTCTCTGACCCTCCCCTGCTCGCGCCGTCTCTCTCTCTCCTAGAAATAAATAAAGCATTAAAAAAAAAAAAAAAGAAGTAGCTAAAACTAAGACTATATATGCGGAACTCTAGATTGTGTCCAATGGCCTGGCTGATTGGTTAGGGGCCTGGAAGGAAAACAGGCTGTCTCATTAATCTCTGTCTTCTAAGTTTCTACTGAAGGAGAGAGGCCTATAGGAATCATGAAGGAGTTGCTTCCTGAACATACAGGGAGAAAAGGACCTGTACAGCACAAGAGGTGGTCTGTGGCAGCATGAAGATGAACTGCTCAAATTTCCTTCAGGAGAGCCTACTGGGGTCTTCAGTTGACAGATAACTTTTAGTTATTACCCCTTCCTATCTACTGTAGTTTTCATGCCAAAGTCGTACTTTCTCTGGCTGCTACTAGCCAATGACTCAGCATCATGAAGAGTACTAAAGGCATTTTGGCCTAATGCCAGACACAGCAGCTTAGCTTTCTTAGAAATGTGTTGCAATCTGAGACTCTACCTCCACAATTCTTCTTATCCATTCTCCTTTCACATCCTGAAGGATATCTCTACCTCATCCCGATCTCTCCTCCTTTATCCTTCACAGATGTTCCCTACAATATTGTACATATAATCCTATGTTGGTGTCTGCTTTTCAAAGAGCCCAAACTAGCACTGTTAAAATGTCTTTCATTACATATGAAGTGATTTAAATTAATCAAGATAAAATGGGTTAAGGATGGACATTGTATTTCCTAGAGCAACTTCTAACAATATAGAACAAAGGCGTACAGCTGAAAAGCCTATAGGTGAGGTAAAATGAAATATAAAAAATTCTCAATCCAGAGGAGGCAAATAAAAATAAAAGAATCAAGAAAGAAGGTATGTAATAAGTAGCAAGATGATAAAATTAAATCCAACCACACAATTAAATGTAAATGGACTATATGCTCCCATTGAAAGGTAGAGAACATTAGATGGAATAAAAAGTTAAAATCCAACCATATGTTGTTTATGAGAGAAGCATTTTAAATATAAAGTCACAAAAATGTTGACATAAAAGGATGGAAGAATTATATAATGTAAACACTAATTATGAAAAGCTGATATTATTAATATCTGACAAGATAAACTTCAAGTCAAATAGCAATAATAAGAATAAAGGGAGATGTTTATAATAAAAGTCAATTCATTAAGAAGTCAGGATTAATAACTAAACAAATCCATAATTAGCAGTTTTTAATACTCTTGTCTCAGTAAGTCAAAGAACAAGTAGATTGAAAAATAGCAACAGTACAGAACAGGAGTTGGCAAACTACAGCCTTTTGGCTAAATTTGGCCATCCTATTTGTTTATGTATGGTTTATAGCTATTTTGCACTAAGGAGGCAGCGTTGAGTAGTTGTCACAGAGAGTATACAGCCTACAAAACTGGAAACAGCCCTTGACAGTATAGGTTTACTGATTATAAGAGATTTGAATAATCCAGTCAGCTAACTTAATCTAATTGATATTTATAGAACACTCATCTAACACTTAGAGTTCACATTCTTTTCAAGTATTCCTGGAACGATACAGACACATTGTTAGCAATATTAAGTCTCAATACATTTTAAATGATTGTATGTATGTTCTTTTACCAAAACATAATTAAATTAGAAATCAATAACAAAAAAGGTAACTATAATATGCAATATATTTTTTTGAAATTTAGCAGTAGATTTTCTAAACAATCCATGGATTAAAATGGAAATCATGAGGGAAATGAGAAATATTTTGAACTGAAACAAAGAACAAAATGGCAATAAATGCCTATCTATGAATGGGAATGGGCTGAATTCTCTAATCAAAAAACACAGGGTGACAGAGTAGATGAAAAAAATAAGTCCCATCTGTATTCTGCCCGTAAGAGACTCATTTCAGACCTAAACACACCTGCAGATTGAGATTGAGAGCATGGAGAAACGTTTATAATGCAAATGTATGTCAAAAGAATGCTGGAGTATCAAGACTTATATGTGACAAAATAGACTTTAAAACAAATACTGTAACAAGAGACCACAAAAAAAGGCGGTGAAGCACTATATAATAGTAAAGGAATAATCGTACAAGAAGATATAGCAATATTTATGCACCTAACATGAACTACCCAGATACATAAAACAGTTAATAACAAACATAAAGGAAATAAATGATAGTAATACAATAATAGTGGGGACTTTTAACACTTCATTTATATTGATGAGCAGATCACCTAAACAGAAAATCAACAAGTAAATAGTGGCTTTGAATGACAGTGGGCCAGATGGATTTAACAGATCTATTCAGAATATTCCACCCTAAAGAAGAAGAATACATGTTCTTTTCAAGTTCACATTGAACAGTCTCCAGAAAAGATCATATAGTAGACCACATAACAAGGTGCAACAAATTCAAAAAGATCAAAATCATAGTGTTGACCACAATGCTATGAAACTAGATATCAATCATAAGAAAAAATCTGGACAGAGCACAAATACATGAAAGTTAAATAATATGCTACTAAACAATGAATAGGTCAACAAAGAAATAAAGGAGAAATTGAAAACCCAATGGTCCAAAATCTTTGGGATGCAGAAAAAATGGTTCTAAGAGAGAAGTTTATAGCAACACAGGCCTACCTCAAGAAGCAAGAAAAATCTCAAATAACCTAACTTTAAATCTAAAGGAGCTAGAAGAAATGATACAAAACCCCAAACCAATAGAAAAAAGGAAGTAAATAAAGATTAGAGCAGAAATAAATGATTTAGAAAGTAAAAAAATAAAATAGATCAATGAAACCAGGAGCTGTTTTTTTGAAAACATCAATAAAATAAATCTCTAGCCAGACTCACTTAAAAAAAGGACCCAGATAAACAAAATCAGAAATGAAAAAGGAGAAATAACAGCCTATACCACAGAAATAAAAACGATTGTAAGAGAATATTATAAAAAATATGAAAAATTATATGTCGACAAATTGGACAACCTAGAAAAAAATGTATAAATTCCTAGAAACATGTAACCTATCATAACTGAAGCAAAAATAGAAAATTTGAACAGACTGATTATTAATAATTAAATTGAATCAATAATCAAAGAACTCCCAATAAAAAATTCCAGGACCAGATGGTTTCACAGGTGACTTCTAGCAAATACTTAAAAAAGAGTTAATACTTATTTTTCTCAAACTATTCAAAAATATAGAAGAGAAAGAAAAACTTCCAAATTCATTCTAAGAGACCAGTATCACCCTGATATCAAAACCAGATAAAGACACCACAAAAAAAATTAGCGGCCAATCTCTCTGATAAACATAGGTGCAAAAATCTTTCAAAAAATACTAGCAAATGAGTTCAATAATACATTAAAAAAATGATTCACCATGATCAAATAGGATTTATTTTCAAGATGTGTTGTTCAGTATTCACAAATCAATTTATGTGATACATCACATTAATAGGAAGGATAAAAACCATGTGATCATTTGAGCAGATGCAGAAAAAGTATTTGACAAGGTACAACACCCATTCATGATAAAAACCCTCCACAAAGTAGGTTTAGAGGGAACACACCTCAAAATAATAAAGTCCTTATATGAAAAAGCCACAGATAACATCATACTCAATGGGTAAAA